AACCCTAACCTCGCGACTAGAGCTGAATACGTTGATGCCAGGAATAACTGCAGCCAAACAATAGATGCTTCCAAAGAAACATACAATGCCAAGATAAGATCGAAACTCATAGATTGTCCCAATGGCTCCCGTTCGTTTTGGTCCCTTGCTAAAGCGGTCGGAAGAAATTTCACTAATAGTTCATTTCCACCACTGTCCAAATCCGACGGCACATTAGCAACAACATCGCAGGAGAAAGCAAATATTTTTGCAGAGATGTTCGCAGCAAACACTACTTCAGATTCCCAAGGAAAAGTGCCGCCAGACATTCCACCGGTTGAGAGTCGAATGCCCGAAATAGTCTTCCGTCAACGCACTATCAGACGAATTTTGCTTGGTCTCAAAACGAATAAGGCTAACGGTCCTGACGGAATTCCACCCATCATCCTCAAAAAATGTGCACCAGAATTAACACCGATTCTCTGCAAGTTGTTTACCATCTCGTACAGGTCGGGTATTTTTCCATCATGCTGGAAGACAGCTAGAGTCCAACCAATCCCCAAAAAAGGGAACAAGAACCTGCCCAACAACTACAGGCCCATTGCCCTGTTATCAGTAATCTCCAAAGTGATGGAGAAAGCCATCAACATTGAGCTTATCATCAATGATAGACAATACGGCTTTCGCCACCGAAGATCAATTGGAGATCTACTTGCCTACGTCACCCATTTATGGCAAGCTTCATTAGAAAAACACGGAGAATCTCTAGCTGTCGCGTTGGACATATCGAAAGCATTTGACCGTGTTTGGCACGAAGGACTCCTCCATAAACTACCATCATACGGCTTACCACCTCAGCTATGCCATCTCTTATCGAGTTTTCTTTCAGGCAGATCGTTTCATGTGGTGGTGGACGGTTTATCGTCTGATACCATTGGCATCAATTCCGGCGTTCCACAAGGATCAATTTTGGCACCAACATTATTCCTTCCTCATATCAATGATCTGTTGGGAGTAACAACTTGCCCCATCCACAATTTTGCAGATGATAGTACCCTCCATACTGCGTTCTCTTCTAGAATTCCCATTTCTTCCCAGGAAACTAAGAACTCACGGCGCAGGCAGGTCAATGCTGTCAATGAAGACCTTGCTGAAATCACAGCCTGGGGAACCAACAACCTGGTTGAATTCAACGCCACCAAAACTCAAGCCTGTATTTTCTCTAGAAAGGCGGAACTCAGTATGCCCGACATTGTAATGTCTGGCACCACCATCTCCACCAAGCCCACCATATCTATGCTCGGTATTTCCATCCGCAACACTCTTTCATGGGATAATCATGTCAAATCCATCGCAAAAGCTGCTTCGCAAAAACTCGGATTCTTGTTTCGTGCGAAAAGCTACTTTACACCTCAACAGCTTCTCATGATCTACAAAGCGCAGATACGGCCTGTTCTAGAATACTGTTCCCACATATGGGGTTCAGCACCAAAACATACGCTGATGCTCTTAGATTCTATCCAGAGAAAAGCCATCCGCCTGGTGGGTGACGCCACACTCACTCACTCTTTGACATCATTGGAACACCGTAGAAAGGTCGGCGACCTTTCACTTTTCTATCGATACTTCCACGGGAAATGTGCTTCGGAAATCTCTGCTATCATCCCTTCACTAGCAATACCAGTCAGACGAAATAGACATGCCCAATCAGCACATCCTTTCGTTGTCAACCTCGAGAGATGTCGAACGGCACTTTATCAAAACTCCTTCATCCATAGAACGGCTAGGCTCTGGAATGCATTGCCTGAGGAAGTATTCCCAACAACATATAATCTCCAGAAGTTCAAAAAAAATTCCAATACCTACCTCCTATCCCTATCCTCCCTAGGAACGCACGATGTTCTCTGAACATTATAGGGATTCCCTTTCGCGCGCTCCAAGCGATAAAAAAAAAGAAATAACAAGTTATGAACATTGTAGTTACTTACCCTGTAACTTAGATGAGGAACACACAGTGTCTTTAATCACAATCATGATTTACGATTAGAAAGAGATGCTTCAGTATGAGCAATAACACCAAACACGAACTGCATACTAACTCGAATGAACTGAAACAACGAAATGAGACAAAAGTATGCCGTCGCTAAAGAATTAACAGACACGTGTACATCAGTCAGACCGACACCGACCGAGTGTGTACGAATCTTAACATAAGTCACATTGTGCGCTACATTCATGAGTATGTGAGTACACTGAGATTTCCAAGTATTGTTGGATATTACTTTCATTGATGAATTTCCTTGAGATGTGAGAGAGATTCACAAATTGGAGCATATTGTCGCAGTGGAGCAGTTTGTCGTTTCATATACATCAAATTACGACTCTCAACTACTGAAATTTCAGATTCTCAAATTATAGACTTTGTGAAGTTAAGGAGCTTCATAAATATTATATCCATATTTGTCTCAGATCCAACAGAATGTGATGAAATTTGCGAACTATCTGTCACACAAGGAATTCCTTGTAGATATCAGCGATGCAATATTGTGATTCGCTTTTGTAACATCAACTGCCATGAATGCGACATCTCATAGATGTTTGTGTTAACTAGGTTGAACTGGCCACCAGGTCTCTCGATTGCCTGCAGCCGCCTATACGCTTCCAATATCCTTCTAGTGCCTCGTCCGCCTATTTGTTAAGGGCAGACGAAGTTTGGCTTCTTGTTATGCCCTGTGCAGGCTCCGGTCCCCAGAAAGGTGTCGTGGATCCGATTCTAGCCAGCTCGTCGGCCACCTCGTTCCCGGGCACCCCCCTGTGCCCCGGAACCCATACAAGTTCGACTTCCTTCTGTTCAGCTAGTTTCTCAAGAGCATCGCCACATTCCTGCACCAAAGCTGAGCTTGGTTTAGGATGGCAGACCGCCCTGAGAGCCGCCTGACTATCCGAGCAGATGTAAATCTTCTGCTCCGGTCCCTCTTTCACCTCTTGCCTCTCCGCCACTGCCAGAATGGCAAAGACCTCAGCCTGGAAAACTGTGGTATACTTTCCAAGAGCGTAGCTCTGCCTTATGCCTATTCCTTCTAGGTAAATTCCTGCACCTGAGTCCTGTTTGTCAGTTAGGCGCGATCCGTCCGTAAAACATACTAGACTCCCCGGGCGGAATTCCACTCTGTTCTCTTCCCATTGTTCCCTGCTTGGAATAGTGAGGGTGAACCTTCTATTCCATCTCAGCCTATTTTGAGCGTTCTTTACTCTTAGGGAGGAGATAGGGATCTCCTGCTCCAACCATGTCGCAATTTCCGCGTGACCTGTCACTGCTCCTCCGATAGCCCAACTCCCAGAGTCCCGCATCCTCAGATAGGCCGCCATTGCTTTCCTCTTAATCCAGATTGGAAGCGGCGGCAGCCCCAGCAGTACCTCCAGCGTTGCAGTTGGCGTCGTCCTCATTGCTCCTGTGATCGCCAGGCAGGCCATCCTCTGAACTTTACTAAGCTTTCGACTAATTGTGCTGGTTTCTGCGCCTGGCCACCACACAGCTGATCAATACTGAATCTTTGGTTTTACGACCGCTGTGTATAGCCAGCGCATAATCTCGGGGTTAATACCCCAAGTTCTCCCAACGACCCTCCTCAGTTGCCAAAGAATTGCAACCGACTTTTGCACGATCCTATCTACGTGTAACCCCCATGAGAGTCTTGGGTCCAAGACGACACCTAGGTAATATAGCCAGGGAAGTAGTTGTTCTCTGTTGAATAGACCGAGAAAAAAATTGATATTTTCGTCACATAGAGAATGCTAATTCTCAATGAATTTCTTCATGTTCATATAAATTTTTTTATGTTCATAATTATAACTGAGAATATTCCTTTTAAATATAGGCAAAACTAACATGTTTTTAGAACGGCTATGCTAATTTATTTTGAAAACGGTTGGTTTCTGGAAAAGAATTCAAGTACAAGAAAAGTCTCGAAATTGAACTGATTGAATTGAATTGATTGAATTGAATTGATATATTAAATTTCTTAACTGCAAGATGTCTGAGGCGTACTACGAAAACGTTTGTGGGGAATAAGAAAGCCTCTACTTTCTGAAACGTATCACCCAGTAGATTTTTGAAGTCTATGAGATGCTCAAAAAGAAGATCTTCTATAAAATATCAACGACATCAAATTTCTACTTGATATCTTCTGAAGTGAGCGAGATTTATTAATTAATAGAAACAATTAATAAAACTTCTACCCCCTGTTGTTCCGCTTCTAATCGGGATCGAACTCATGTTTTTTAATGAAAATGATTAGATCTATCAGCCATTTCAATTTGTGCCTTCGAATCTGGATCACCCTGTAGATGCATGATGGTAAGGATTTAGTGAGGGTTTCATCACCAACGAAGCGAATGTTTCGTCTCTGTATTTTCTCTAGAGAGGCGGTATGCCTGATATATCAATGTATGGTATCATTTCACAAAGTTCAGAGTTCGGAATCTGAAACCATCAATAGGTACCATCATATCTGTTCCAATTGAATATCAGTAGATAGTGAATCAGAAGTAAAGGTAGTGACATAAAAGCAATTTTGACCGATAATGAATAGTTTTGACACAAAGAAATCATGGAATTAAAAAAATCTCGACATTGAACACCTCATTTCTATAATCTCTGTATGTACCTGATCATTCCTGCTTGATTCCAAATGTTAAGCAATCAAGAAGGATCTGAAAATGCAATCGAATACAGGGTGTTCCATGTGAAATATCAATGTTACGATGCTACATTACTGTAGATATTTTAGATCGATAGACCAAGAACATCTACTTAATTTTCCAGATTTTCTGAATGATCCTATTTCCCGTTCTCCGTGAATGTCTATAAGGTACCATCGACCAGCGTGACCGACTCTCAATATTATCTACTATTTCACTGCATTTCCAACTGCTTTTTCCTAAAAATCAGAAGTTCGAAGTCATAATTAACCTTATAGGTAAAACTCTGATTTCAGCGTCACCTTCAAAAACTATCACAAGAATGCATACAAATCCCAATGGACTGTCGACGGAGGATATGAAAAAAATGAGGGAACGGAGACCTATCCTGTCAGAGCCTATTTGGCAGGAGCAGATAATGCTTTGGATATAACATTTCATCAAAATGACAGTGATTTAGACTACTTATGCTTGGACGATATTCAAGGTTATAGCGTGAGTATACTCCAAGTTGGATAGAATATGGTGTAATCACAGACAGTGTTTTGTTGCTTCCAAAACGCTTTACCGCAGATTCCGTAATAATGACATATAAGTTCTCAGTTATGCGCAAGATGGCGACACCTTTGACAGATTTCTTTCATGATAGAAAGCATTCATAACATAATCTCATTCCAAAGGAGATTATATTTGAAGGTAAGACACTTCAATTTTGGAAAAGTTTTATTATCATCAGTACCAGGTAGCCACACTGACGAAAATGACGTCTACAGGACCGCTAATTTTGGGCATTTATGGTCGCGTTCGTCAGTTCTGTAAATCATGACGTCAAAATGACGTCGTCTTTCCAATGTCACATGGACGGCAACTTTTGAACATCATTTATGGACTTCAAACAATTATTATCATAAAAAATGTTGTCATTTTTACCTCGTTACAATGTTGCCGTCTCTATACAATTTTTACTCACTCCTATTATTATGGTGATTATCAAATATCGAGATTCAAGAATGATAATTGCACCATAGATTCTGATAGAATGAACCAGATGACAGTATAGCTTATGTGGGAGGGGGGGGGGAGAATACATGTCATCAACTGTGACGCCAACTTTCAATGTCTGCTCATTGTATTTCTAGGTAGTGACGATATTTGTTCGTCTCAATGTTATATTTTGTGATGAACAGCCTCAAAAAAATCTGTATTGTGGCTATATAATGAATTTAATTAATTTCCATCAATATTATTTATATTTCCAAGTTTGTGTTTGTGTGTTTGGAATCTGGCCACACAGCGAGTCATCGACATGTATGGGCCGCTCTAATATGATTTTTTGTTTGTTTTGTTGTTCCTGTGGGCGGTTCGATTGACGGGATGGTTCCTCATTCAATATTATGTTCTGGTTTGTTTTGATACACTGATTTTTGATCTTTTTTTGATGTTTTCTGCTATCCAATTAGATGATAGTGGAAACGACAATGGCTGTTGTCCAGGAATAGTGGTTGACTCTTCTCATGACAGGAGACAAAAGTATTTTGGCCGCCATTTGAAGGACAGTCGAAACTATAAACGTGTATTGTGTGACGGTGAACCCATCGATTTCGTTTTGGTGATATAAAGTGAGCTTTGTCAATTCCGAATATATTCGTGGAAATAGAAATACTGATTTGTTTCAAATTGTCTGAATTTGAGTGCTTCCTCTCATCACATTGTTCCTCATTCAAGTGATTATGAGAACAAACCTCGAAACGAGGAGTTTGGGCATATTTTCCTAAGAATAAACGTAGCTACGACGTCCAAAGCTAGTTGCTAACGTCAGTTACAAGTCATAATTGAATACCGCATTTACGTCCAAAATTCCTGAAATGTGACGCCATTTTTCTGTGACTTACTCACGTCATTCAGACGCCAGTTTTGTTTTCCAAAATATACTCAAATCGTTATTCAGCAATACTAAGGATAGTAATACATGATAGTTATACATGTAGTAAATACAGTTATGTCTGTTCTAAGAGATCTGTGGAAGCAAAACAAAAGCAGTGTTCATTTGGATGATTTGACCCAAACATGACCAAAAGTAGTACCTAAATTATATTGTATAAACTCATTCCAATAACTCTGATACAATTTGGGTATTTTTTTGATAGGAGAGTATATACGCTTCTCAACTGATGATGAAATCTGAAGAAATTTTTGAAACACGACTATCGTTGAATTCGTGCCACTGTTGATTCCACCGCTGTGGTTCGAAATAGCATAGAGATCGTACTGGAATGGTACACTTCCATCGGCAGCGTAATGACTCATATCGAGTCTGTCTAAAGGTACATCAACTAAGACGTTCAGTTTTTCAACAAACCGATCCAGCGAGAAACGTTTCAGATGGATGACAAGAATGTCAGGGAACCTCTAAATGGATATAATAAAATACGTCTTTTGGCCGAATTTGATGCAGTATTTTTTCAGACGTCATATAGTCGCCATGTGCTACCTGGGCAACCCTGAATTTTGATTGATATTTCTACATTCCGCGATATTGAAACGAATTCTTCTGTCAAGTAGGTCGTAGGTCAAGAACTTTGACCTAAAAACAGTAGATGGGATTTGATAGGAGTTTTATCTTCCGTTCATCCTGATATACTCATATATTCCATCAGTGAATGATTTTCCTAGTTGATGCAATGATCAGAAACAGACTAAATCATGAAAATGCCTCATGATATGACTCTGCCATTTTTCATCCGAATAGGCCAATAATTATGGCAATAATGTTCCCCTAGTAAACATGAAATAGCTGGCGATTCGATGGCCCGATCATTCTAGCGATGGCGTACTGCTGATACTATCTGCTTGTCGATGATGAAATTATATTAAGTGTTATAAACGGCCATTTAGTAACGAATATTTTGAGCACGAGTGAAGCAAGTCTTAGTCTCAAGCCTGCCACTTCTTCCTCTGAATAAAATACGGGGTAAAACAAAATAGGAGGAAACCATGATAGTATAGTTCATTCCCAACATTTCCGAGCAACCAGCATGTCCAAATATTTCTTATACTCCGAAACAAAATATCATGTGAATGTTGAATACTTGGCAACAATGTGCTGAATGCTGAGAACTGACAACGCACCGACCATAAATCACTATTCAGAAAACAATTCCTAGATATCAGAAAACTGTTGCGACACACACGGTTTGTTAACATATTTGTTTTTTAACAACTTTGAAACCGCCCCTGCGCTATTCGCTACCGAAAGTGGTGGTTTAAATAGAGGTATTTTGGGTGCTATAGCATCAAGTGGCAAAATCTCAAGGCCGGCTTTATGAAAATACTATAGATCAAAGAGTCTTTAATCTATGAAGATACAGGTGGCCAGGTAGCCGTGCGGACAGAGTGTCTATATTCTAATTCGCATTCGCTTGCCGGTCGTGGGTTCGATCCCCGTCGACTGCAGAAATTTTTCTGATGGCCCAAGAAAGTGTTTGGGATCACACGTTAAAAGGTAAGGCCCCCGTCATTCCTTGCTCGCACAAGACTTTCGAAGACTTTTGAGGGTTGCTCGTAAGGGGGCAACCGAATGATGGCTAGAACAATTTTACAATTTTACAATTTTACAATTTACAACTGCACATCTTTTGTCATCAGTCATTATCTGGATATTTTGATCGTTTACGCGAAAGATTTGATTACTACACTACCTGAACTGAAATTTTTGTTAGGAAGTGAATCATTTCAAGAAAAGCACAATTAGGAAAAAAAATACGGCAAAAAGTTCAAAGTAGAGAGGAAAATGGCGGACATACTGTTTCATTTTGAGTTGCAGATTTGAAATTTTTCTTCGGACTTCCTCCTACAAATCTTGTTCAGAATCATTTGACTATCTGTTCAAGATAGTGTCAGCAGAGGATAGAAATTTAATCAATTGGCAACTGAACTACAAAAAAAGTATGTATAGGATCTGGAAAAATTGGTTTCTGACGAATGCTATTCATCAGAAAAAAAAAAAAGATTTCTCTCCTAGAGACTAAAGCAGAAACTCCTATTATGGAATTATAGTCCAAGTTCAACACGAGAATAATGTTATATGATATCTTCTTTTCCCAATATGAATATTTTATTCCTAAATTCTTGAGCTAACAAATTCATCTCAATTCAAACAAGATCTACTTAATGAAACTAATGTATAGAGCTCGTGAATAGTATCATACATGAAGGCTTGCATTGAAGCAAGAAAACACATTTTTGTTTCGTTACTTCATGTTCCTTGTTACGTACTTGCTCATCATCATTCAATTCTTCTTCTCAATTCTAAATTATACCTATTCATTTTCCTTATTTATTATGTGAACGCTAAAGAATTATGTTTTCAATTTATTCCACAACATCCTGTTTGTAACATCATATCTACCATTTTGTTCATCAAACTTATATATGGAAAAAACTGGTGTGCGTAGAACTTTCGTGGTATAGGTACACTGCTTGTATCATTATGCCGCTCTTATGGGTTTCGGCACCCGGGACCGGTTTACTCCCATCCCGGAAAACGTCCGAGGTGCATATAGAATTTATTATCACTTCAAAAATGTGTCATGGGACAAAATCCAAAGACCTGAAAGATTAGGAAGGACGGCGCGTCCATCATAGCACCAGGCTGCGAAGTGGCTGACTGACGGCAATCTATTGTTTTACAAACTGAGTACCAAATAATAATATCGGAATATCAGCCTTTAGAAAACTGTTGAATTGTTGTGCCACTCACCTCTCCGACTATTATGCAGGGTGTTCCTTGAAGACATGCTTATATTTGAGGGGATGATTCTGTGAGTTATTCCAGCAAACATTTTGATATGGGGCATCAATGGCCTAGTATATTTTTCCCATACCTGACATCAGCGGCCCAGTAAATGGTCCCATATGCGGGACTCTATATATCAGTACACTGCGGCCGGCAGCTGGTCCCAGTGCTGGTTTCCCAGCAATCATATTCAGTTCCCCGGCAAAAGGCCAGTACAACATAATCGACACATTGAGTTTCCCATAGCAAGCCCAGCATATACATAAATGATGGGACTGTAATGGCCAATTAACGACATTAGTTACATACTATCGAGGTAGGGGAGGGGTAGGGGTTTTAGGGGTCCAATGGATCTGAAAGTTCTAGTACCTCTTTATTTCACAACATAAATCAGACACATACCAGATTTCGAGAAAACAATTTTATGAATGACACAATGATATCTCCTCAACGTCTCTGTTCTTCAACGATGAAACTTCTCGGAGTGACTGCTTACTGGTTGGTGTGTGGTATCTACTTCTTATTGGGTAGCATTCCATCGAAGTTGATTCTTTGTTGTGAGGTACTTCTGAAATATAAAATGCATCATTTGTTTTATATTAGTGGCCTATGAGTTGCATGAGTTAATAACTTGATAATATAGTCAAATGACGTGATAACATGGAGCTTTTCAATTCTCATTATGGTCTTGGCACAGGTAATTCTGTAGCTGAAACCTTATTTTTATTCAGTTCTTTGATATAGAGATAGGTTCACATAATCTGAGATTGCTTTTGATAGCAACAAACGAGTTGAAAATGATGGTTGCTTTTAGAGAAGTATAGTTAACTCCAATTATCATGATCATTAGGTATATGAGGTTACGAGATACCAAACACATGCATTGAATAATTAAATTCAAAACACTATGTAGGTACATTGATACTTCCCTGATAGCACACAACGTCCTAGGGACGTCCCTATTTGGTACAATCCACGTCCGAATGTCCCGGACCAAAAATAAGTGTCCTTGGGACGTCCCATCCCGTACATCTCTTGCAATGTCCGAGCAAGGACGTCCACGGGATGTCCCAGCTGGTACATCATTTCGAATGTCCTAGAAATAGCATCCCTTAGACGTCCCACGTGGTACATATTGTAGAATGTCAATGCAAGGACGTCCTTGGCATGTCCCTGATGGGATATGATTTTAAACGTTCCTTTAGGGACACCCATCGGATGTCCCGAGTAGTACATATACTGGCATGACTTCAGATCTTATATAATTTCCCTTCTAGACAATCATGAAATGACCCTGATGGTACATTCCTTCAAATATCTCTGCACAGGCGCCCTTAATATTTCCAGGATCCTATAACAATCGAAATGTCCCTTAGGGACGTCCTTCGAATGTCAGTCGGATGTCCCAATAGGTACATAAACTGTACTCTTCCAATGTCCTAGAAATAACGTCCTATGGACGTCCGAGTCGGTACTTTCAAAATGTTGTCCCTGCGAGGACGTTAACTTACACCTCGCCGACGAATGATTGCTCGTAGGCTATAAGTACTCCTCGTCAATGTCCTTCACGTAAGTCCATTGGACATCCTAGGGAAACTTTTTGGGGACCTTCTACGGACCATCAACTCAAGTGGATGTCCTAATCAGTTATGCAAGATCTGGTCCTAAAGGGACCCAGACAAATTCAAATTCAAGAATAATTCGTACGTCCCAGGGACATCCTATGGACATCCAATTGATATCCCCCAGCGTTGCTGATAGGTTGTCCTATGGATGTCCTAAGGACGTCCTCTGTAGTGCTTGATGAGGAATACTGTAGGATTAAAGTATTCGATAGTTGTCCCATGGACGGCCCTCAAGGACGTCCCTAGTTGGTCCTCAAGTGGGACATTTGTGCGTCCCAGAGACGTCCAATGAACGTCCACGGTACCAAATTCGAACGTCCTATGGACGTCCTGAATGTCCCGGCAGGACGTCCTAAGGATATCCATGGGACATAAGTGTGTTATTAGGGTTACTCAATATTATCATAATTGGAGAATCTGTGTTCCATTATTATCAATTGAGAATACTCCTGCCATCATAAATAACCATCACGGACAGAGAGGACCACATTAATTCGACATCCATCTTAGTCACATATGATATTGATCAGCTGATTGTTGATGTAGACGTTCCCAAAACATCCACCAGGGGGACGAGTAACGAACATGAAATTGGCCAGCAAAGGGCCAGATCTCGTAATTATTCAATTAGTTCCAGACATCTTACCATCACAAGGCCATCATCGTATTTTTAACTGATGGTTACTTGGCATAGGAAAATCATCGGCCCATTACCAATACCCCGGCATCGTCACTTTCCCAGACTAGCCTGCACTAGGCCGGACTTCTCCCGCTAGTTCAATGTTTGCTGGGATATCGGCCCCTTAAATATCAGCATATCATTGAGGAACACCCCGTATACACGGTGATTCATTGAGAATGGGCCGGAAATCGCTGAACTACAGGAAGTGAACACAAAAATGATGAGATTTAGCTCAATATGCCTAATGAGAATGTTGCTGGTTTAGGAGATACAGAGTGTTCTAGGGGGAAATTCTATTTCAAATTTTCACAATAACTTTGTTAGTTTTCACAGCATTTTCATGAAATTTTGTATTTCTAGGTTTCTCTGACATAAGGAATGTGAGTTTGCAACTTTTTTTGTGATTGTTCATAGAGGGCGCTAGTGGCACTCTGTTACTTTGATAATTTACATCATATCTTCTATGTCAATTCATTAATGATCTAAATAGGTTAAAAAACTGAAAGCTCGTTCAATTTCACATAAAAAATGTACATCTCATCAAATTGTCTAACTTCAACGGTTTTTGTGTTATTCGCTCATGAAGAGATTGATGTTCCAATCACACCATATTGATAATTTAATTTAATAAATTGAGAATTGGAAATTCCTGAACTACAGATAGTGAACATCGAGTTATAAACATCTAGCCCTACATGCCTCGTAAAAATATTGCTGGTTTGAGAGATACAGGGTGGTTAAGGAGAAGAAATTGTGAATGATTCTCTGTGGTGGCATTGCTTGAAAAGTGATTATAGCCACTTATGAAAGTTTTTTTTTACTCATGGTATTATTCCAGATACTACTTCACCAACCATACAAGATTCCTTTAGTGAAAAAACAATATTTTCAAGTTCCATTCGACTCAGCTGTAGTAGCAGTTATTCAACCAGAGTTGATGACAACGTCAGCGGATGTGAAGAAGTACAGTGCTTCCAAGAGGAAGTGCTATTTCACCACAGAGAGGAAATTGAAATACTTCAAATACTATTCACCATCCAACTGCAAATTCGAGTGTTTGATAAATCATACACTAGAGAGTTGTAAATGTGTTAAATTCCACATGCCAAGTAAGTGGAAACAATGAGTGAAAACCCCAATGAATAGAATGATGATAAAGGTGGAATCTCTAGCTGTCGCGTTGGACATATCGAAAGCATTCGACCTTGTCTGGCACGAAGGACTCCTCCACAAACTACCATCATACGGCTTACCACCTCAGCTATGCCATCTCTTATCGAGTTTTCTTTCAGGCAGATCCCTTCACGTAGTGGTGAACGATACACCGTCTGATACCATTGGCATCCATTTCGGCGTTCTACAAGGACCAATTTTGGCACCAACATTATTCCTTCTTTATATCGATGATCTGTTGGGAGTAACAACTTGCCCCATCCACAGCTTTGCAGATTATAGTACCCTTCATACTGCGTTCTCTTCTAGAATTTCCATTTCTTCCCAGGAAACTAAGAACTCACGGCGCAGGCAGGTCAATGCTGTCAATGAAGACCTTGCTGAAATCACAGCCTGGCCAACCAACAACCTAGTTCAATTCAACGCCACCAAAACTCAAGCCTGTATTTTCTCTAGAAAGGCGGAACTCAGTATGCCCGATATTGTAATGTCTGGCACCACCATCTCCACCAAGCCCACCATATCTATACTCGGTATTTCCATCCGCTTCCATCCGCAACACTCTTTCATGGGATAATCATGTCAAATCCATCGCAAAAGCTGCTTCGCAAAAACTCGGCTTCTTGTTCCGTGCGAAAAGCTACTTTACACCTCAACAGCTTCTCATGATCTACAAAGCGCAGATACGGCCTGTTCTAGAATACTGTTCCCACATATGGGGTTCAGCACCAAAACATACGCTGATGCTCTTAGATTCCATCCAGAGAAGAGTCATTCGCCTGGTGGGTGACGCCACAATCACTCACTCTTTAACATCATTGGAATACTGTAGAAAGGTCGACGACCTTTTACTTTTTTATCGATACTTCCACGGGAAATGTTCTTCGGAAATTTCTGCTATCATCCCTTCACTTGCAATACCAGTCAGACGAACTAGACAGGCCCAGTGAGCACGTCCTTTCGTTGTCAACCTCGAAAGATGTCGGACAGCACTTTATCAAATTTCCTTCATCCATAGAACGGCTAGGCTCTGGAATTCATTGCCAGAAGTTCAAAAAAAAATCCAATACCTACCTCCTGTCCCTATTCTCCCTAGGAACGCACGATGTTCTTTGAACATTATAGGGATTTCCTTTCTTGCGCTCCAAGCGATAAAAAAAATTATGCAGACCGCTTTTTTACTAATGTGTTGCTTTCATTAACTGTCATCAAAGTTTGTTTTCATTTAAGGACTATGATACCTTTATGCACCACCTTTTTTCAAATTTTAAACTCTTCTTCTTGATCAAAACAGAGTCCTCAGCGTACTTAGCCCGATGAAATATTTGTGTTATTACATTCAGCGATAACATAGTTACAATAAGAATCATTCATTCATATTGTTTTCTGAGTCCAATTTGAACATACGACTACAATTTCTAGAAATTGCAACCAAATTTTGGAAAAAAAAAGAGGAAGAAATTGTCTGTCAGACTTATGACAGAATCGCGCCTGCGCAAGTCACAGTTCAATTTGTATTTGTCGTTAAGAGATAAAAGTTGGTCATTTTTTAGCGATAAGTTAATGAGAGATAAAATTCAATTTAGGTGCATATATGAATGAACGGGAGTACCAATTTTTAATACAGACGTATGCACCATGATAAGGTATAATATTTATTTTTTGTTTTTTTATGAAAACAATAATAGTTTATATTGACGTAATGGGTAGGGTTATTAATTTTATAGGGATCCACGTGCCCTTAAATTGCCAAAGGTGACAATATCAAACATGTGAAAATCAAACTCAGTTTGATGGGGTATCGAAGTTAACCTTTAACTGTGAAATGATCATGTCTGTGTCTTGTGTCATTTTATTGTCTAAATTATCAATTTCTCACCATTTTTATTTCCATAACTGAATACTTGAATTTGGCTGATGATGGGCTTATATAAGCCCGAAACATGTACGTCAAATAAATGTTGTGGAGAAGACTTTGGGTTTCTTCATCTATGAAATATATACGACTCGATCCACTTTTCTTCCAAAGATCAAATATGGATATATTGAAGAAATTTCGAGTTTCTACTTATCTTTGGACGTTTCAGAAACGAATATAATATGCTCCCGTTCCCAAATGAAAATTCAAAAATATCTTTCTTTGAAAGCATTGTCCTTAAAGTTTGACACATTTCAGTGACATATTGATGTTGACATATGAATGAGTGATGTTATTATACAAATGAGTTACAGGATACTTTCATCAATTGATCTTGAGCCTACCATTTGTCTACTAACATCACTCACTTTCATACCATCATCAGTATGTCACTGAGATGTGTCAAAAATTTAAGAGCACAACAACTGTCAAAGGAAAATGATTTTTCCTACGACCACCTATGAAAACAGCACAAAACACATTGATTTGTTTTTGAGAAAGTGACTCGTTTCACTATGACAACATATAACAGTTAGAAAGTTCGAAAGTAAAACTCACATGGGTGGAAATTATCGGAAATCGCACAGTAACAGGGTCTATAGATTATGATGTACCAATTATAATGTATGATTATTATGCTGAATTATGGTAAGTTAAGTTATGGTCAAGTTGATGGAAAGTTAGTGTCGATTTAACATGAGCTATTGTCGTTAATGTTGACGCAATGTTAAGTTGATGAAAAGTTGAAATCAAGTTAATTTCAATTGAAAGTTGAATTGATATCAATGTATTGGCAATTTAGTGATCAATGTGAAGTTAATGTCAATTTGATATTGAGTTGATGTTAATTTGATTTCAAGGTAATGTCAAGTTAATTTTGAAATTGAATTTTGAGATAATGTTGATTCAATGTTGAGTTAATGTTGAATAATTATTGAGTTGATGTTAAGATGATGTTGAGTCAATGTTAGGTTAATTTTAAGTTAATGTTGAGTTGATGTTGATGTTAAGTTAATTTCAAGTTAATGTTAGGAAACTGTTGAATTTATGTTAAGTTGATGTTAAGTGGATGTTAAGTGGATGTTACGTTGATGTTACGTTGATGTTAAGTTGATGTTGAGTTAATGTTGAGTTAATGTTGAGTTCATATTGAGTTAATGTTGAGTTAACGTTAAACTAATGATGTCATTTTTATATTGAAGTAAAATTGAATAATGATGACAATGATATCACCTTCATGTGATCGAATATGATTAGAAACATAATCCCTACTCTGGTCTTATAAACACTCATGACATATGATATAAATATTTGTGGTCGTAGGAAAAATAGTGTACAAAACTCGTTGGAAAGTGCATTTCCTGCGCTCGTTTCGTTTCCGCACTCGCCGCTCTGCGGCTCGTGCTTAACGCCCACTCGTGCGAAATATATCACTTTCCACAATAGTTATGTAATATACTATTGAATTTTCATATTGAGAACGGGAGCAGAATGGTTGCTGAAATAATAATAAGTAGGTATATGTTGTGTTAATTGATTGTTAATCTCGTGTAAGTCGCGTTCACGAGTTGAAGCATTTTTTCAGTCGAAACTATCGATAGTTTGGTTATTTAAATAATTGTATGTCTGTGATAGTAACGAAAAGTTATACCTATTTTATATTTCAGGAGAACCAAACACGCCCATTTGTGGAAATGGTAATCATCAATGTCTGAGCTTTCAACAATGTGAGTACTAACAATATCATTATTAATTATATGTCGAGGTACAGAAAATATTCGTTCTCCGAGCAACAGGTATAGTGGCTTTTTCCTGTCGCTTAACAGGCAGAAAAGGTGTACTTTTACTGCATAGGCAAAAAAAGTTTGTTGCTATGCAACGTTTCAAGAAACTCGAATGAAATTAGTAATCAAAATAGACACTGACATTGGGTGAACACAAAATAATAAAGTTTTCGGTGAAAAAATTACACAAAATTGGTTTTATATCATTTGAAGAAAAAATGCTATGTTTCACACGGCAGCAAATGTAGATTGACTGCCTTGGCTGAATTCCTAGACTCGCTACGCTCGGCTATAAACTATCAGCCGCGGCAGTCAATCTACTACTTTTCTGCCTAGTGAAACAAATAACTACTTTTCCCATGTGGCATTGAAAGTGGCTTCATAATGACACTAGATAGGCAGAAAATAAACAGGACACAAAAGTAGCATATAGTACAAATAACACAAATGAAAAAGACAAAACATCTAAAACCGAAAAATCAGGATTATAAAAACTCAACTGTGTATCTTGTCCTCAGGTATATATCAGTCGAACAGGTCGTACGTTTAAACAGCGCATTCATGAACATAAGATGATTTTTTTGAAAAAGAAAACAAATTCAACGCAAAAAAAGAAAACAGACTCAACATACGCCTACCATATATTAGAAGAAAACCATAGATTTGATAATAATCTCGAAATTCTACACGTAGAAAATAAAGGAATGAAACTCAATCAACTTGAATCATTAGAAATCAACAAATTGAAAAACACATTTTGACGACCAACTAGACCTCAGTAGATATTGTGCCTTATCTTTGAAAATGGAGGTTCATCGAACCTGTCCACAGGTATCTAATCCTTCAGGTTGGGAAAGTAGGGTATAAAAACCTGATGAAGCTACTGTGTTAGCGAAGCATATCATGTGTATGAGCGTTTAGTGCAAATCTTATCGTTTGTGGAGTGTTCACATTTCAGCTGTCATTGCTTGAAATTTCACATTCCATGAGCGATGAGATTTTTTTGGAATGATAACACTATGGAGTCATTGCATGTGATAGAGTCCGACCACGTTAACTTTGGGACAGCATGTGACGCAACGCATATGCATATTCAATGCATACGCGACCACGTGCTGTCCCAAAGTTATCGTGGTCGGACTCTATCAGATACGGAAATAAAATTGATTACATACAAAATACCCCATTTATGTATTGAACACAGTAAAACAAGAGCAATTTTGTGTTTTAGAAAAATATAATTTGATTTTGAATGAGATACCCACGCAGTTATTTTATTTCTTCCAGTGCATTTGAAAGTTTTACAACTGAGGAAAAACATCGGCAGCGATCGAAATGATTTCTTTTGTCAGTGCAAACCGTTATGTACCGAACTGACTTACAATATGGAACAATCTCAGTCAGCGTGGGAGTATAAAGAACAGTTCCGAGCTAAAGGAATGACAGAATATGATTTAGATGGGTAAGCATCTCGGTTTTTCATCAATCCCAGGTAGCACATGACGACTATATGACGTCTAATTGACGGCATCACATTCGGCCAAAAGACGTCTTTATTTCAACAAATGCGACGTCCAAATGACGTAAGTAAGACACATCCAAACGACGTCATATTTGAAAGTCTTTTAGACGTCAGTATGTGTTCTCAAATTGGACCTTAAACTGACACTACTGACCAATTTCCGACGTCAATAAGACGTCTGTTTTTTTTTATAAAATTTTGAGGTTAATGGTTATAATCTGGTGAGGAAGGTAATCATTTGTGTTATAAAATAAATTTGCTACGAATGAAGATTTCATTAACAAGATAGTAATGTAAGGTATTACATAAATAGTTGAAAATTTCAGCGTCGATGGCTCCCCTTCACATTTGTATGTTTTGCTGTCTTCAAATGGCGGCCAAAACACTTCCTTTTTCAACGACGTCAGCCAAGTTTCGTGAACAACAGCTACACTCTGTTGCTTCCACTGTCATCAGATTGTATTACACAATACATCCAGAATACTTTTACGTGAAAAACAGACTGTATAGAAATACCACTCAAACACTCAACATTTTAACATTCTTAACAAATTCGATGGCACAGACGCTGTTCACAAACAACACCCATTCGAACATGGACGATGGACAATGAACATGAACGGGAACGCACCATGCACGATGCAATTAAGCTAACCACAGAACGGACCGCTGAACGGCACTAACGCCACTAACGGCAGTCGCGAGATGGTCGCGAGTCGCATACACAATCTCTTCGCGTAATTACTTGATCGCCATTGGCCATCTGGTCGGTAAGTGAGAATTGTCTTTGGCGCTAAATTCAAACATTGAAAATCAAGGGAAGCCTATGGAATAAAGTACATTTTCATCATACATTTATACAGTTATTTGGATAAATTAATCAATTTATTTTATAACTTCGTTTTCCTATACATACATGATAATAATAATAGTAATAATAATAATGATAATGATAATGATAATGATAATGATAATGATAATGATAATGATAATGATAATGATAATGATAATGATAATGATAATGATAATGATAATGATAATGATAATGATAATGATAATGATAATGATAATGATAATGATAATGATAATGATAATGATAATGATAATGATAATGATAATGATAATGATAATGATAATGATAATGATAATGATAATGATAATGATAATGATAATGATAATGATAATGATAATGATAATGATAATGATAATGATAATGATAATGATAATGATAATGATAATGATAATGATAATGATAATGATAATGATAATGATAATGATAATGATAATGATAATGATAATGATAATGATAATGATAATGATAATGATAATGATAATGATAATGATAATGATAATGATAATGATAATGATAATGATAATGATAATGATAATGATAATGATAATGATAATGATAATGATAATGATAATGATAATGATAATGATAATGATAATGATAATGATAATGATAATGATAATGATAATGATAATGATAATGATAATGATAATGATAATGATAATGATAATGATAATGATAATGATAATGATAATGATAATGATAATGATAATGATAATGATAATGATAATGATAATGATAATGATAATGATAATGATAATGATAATGATAATGATAATGATAATGATAATGATAATGATAATGATAATGATAATGATAATGATAATGATAATGATAATGATAATGATAATGATAATGATAATGATAATGATAATGATAATGATAATGATAATGATAATGATAATGATAATGATAATGATAATGATAATGATAATGATAATGATAATGATAATGATAATGATAATGATAATGATAATGATAATGATAATGATAATGATAATGATAATGATAATGATAATGATAATGATAATGATAATGATAATGATAATGATAATGATAATGATAATGATAATGATAATGATAATGATAATGATAATGATAATGATAATGATAATGATAATGATAATGATAATGATAATGATAATGATAATGATAATGATAATGATAATGATAATGATAATGATAATGATAATGATAATGATAATGATAATGATAATGATAATGATAATGATAATGATAATGATAATGATAATGATAATGATAATGATAATGATAATGATAATGATAATGATAATGATAATGATAATGATAATGATAATGATAATGATAATGATAATGATAATGATAATGATAATGATAATGATAATGATAATGATAATGATAATGATAATGATAATGATAATGATAATGATAATGATAATGATAATGATAATGATAATGATAATGATAATGATAATGATAATGATAATGATAATGATAATGATAATGATAATGATAATGATAATGATAATGATAATGATAATGATAATGATAATGATAATGATAATGATAATGATAATGATAATGATAATGATAATGATAATGATAATGATAATGATAATGATAATGATAATGATAATGATAATGATAATGATAATGATAATGATAATGATAATGATAATGATAATAATACCCAAACGAATATGAAGACCATAGATTGACGTCTATACGTCGTCAAACAGTGGCTGTCCATAAGACGTCACATTAATGACGTCCGCATGACGTCATAATTTGGTCAAAAGACGTATGAGACCAAAAAAGACCTTAGATAGCGGTCCTATAGACGTCACATTCGTCAGTCTGGCTACCTGGGAAGCTTCGCTCAAATTCATCAAAAATTCTGATTCCACTCACTTCGATGTTCTATATTTTCTTTCTGTTTGTCAAACTACTCAACAATAATAATCTAACGGAAAGAAGTTCAATAAATAATTCGCGAGACCAAGACCAACACTGGTCTTGGTCTTGGAAAATAGAAGTAATCATTGTCTTAGTATAGGTCTTGCTGTTTCAAGACCAAGACAGTCTTGGTCTTGGTCTCAATATAATCTCCAACGAAGATTCTCGAAATGTTCTTCTCCAATTGCTTCATATTTTCTGCATCTCTCAAGAGGTCTCTCATGGTTTTTAGAATAATCAGCCTATTATATCTGATCATATTTGAATCTGTAACTATCCTCTCCCTGAGTTCCTCTCTGGTGTTAACTGCAGTCTGATATACCAATCGTTCCATATGTCTCCATAGATAATTGTCCAATACTGTTGGGAGACCCAGGAGGCCAAGAATGAGAGCCGCCACGACCTATCCAGCGATTAGAGAATTGGGTGTCTAGGTATTCTCTAACTTGTTATGAGTAATGTGGAGGTGCCCCATCCTGTCGAAATGAAATACCTCTTTCAATCCATTTGCTTACATTCATCACAGCCTCTTTTTTTTTAGTGCTTTCTGAATCGTGAACACACCGAACTCACGATTTGGTTTGCTGATCAAGAAAGATCACATGCAATGAGATTATATTCGATAGTTCTTCAAGAGTACCTCTATGTAGTATGAGCACAGTTTGAGGAAATACCTATTCCTTAATTTGTGGTATGAATAGGGGCCAGGTAGCCGTGCGGACAGAGTGTTCGTATTCTAATCCGCATTCGCTTGCCGGTCGTGGGTTCGATTCTTATCGACTGCAGACATTTTTATGATGGCCCAAGAAAGTGTTTGGGATCACACGTTAAAAGGTGAGGCCCCCGTCATTCCTTGCTCGCACAAGACTCTCGAAGACTTTTGAGGGTGGCTCGTAAGGGGGCAACCGAATGACGGATAGAACAATTTTAGAACAATTTTTGTTTAGTCGGCACGTATATCTGATTCAGATAGAAATCTTTCACTCGAGCGATAATTCGACATATAAAATACAATGTTTCCTCATCTCCACATATGCTTATATTTCAAAGCTCTCTTCCAGAAAATCAAGTCCGGTCCTGGATTTTTCCATCGGATTTGACTACAATATGCACGTGCGAAATCATGGAAACATTCATCGGTATTTTGTTCGTTATTTTTTTATCGATTTGGTCGAAGTGTGCCGTACATAATGAAAAGCTACACTTGTAGTGTTTTTCCTGATCTTTCTGATTCTGACGAGGCTTTTTCAAAAATACGATCCAGTAAGTCGAAATTATGAAATTTATAAAGAAAATGAAGTCCGGCTCTGGATTTTTAGTCCATAGTAGGCCATCTTATGTAATGTAATGTTCAGTTCCCGAATTAGTCGAATTTTCAATTTTTTGTTCCTACTTCAATGTTTGTAGGTACCTGTTGATTATGTGTATTATTCGATTTATTTCTCTTTTTCCTTTATTTTGTTATCGTCAAGTTCCGTATTGCATTTCATTTTCCAAACTATCAGGAATAATTCTTAATAACGCCAGTGTCTGGGACACCTTGTAGATAAGGTGTTTTGAACAAGTGTAGAACTTGATTGATTCACCTTGTAGACTCGCATTTGAACAATAACAGTCTTGAGGCCGTCTTGATAATAACAGGTGATGAAAAACGGTAAAGGAATATTGGATAATGTAAGAGTGCATGAATAAGGTATGCGTATTATCTCTTGCATACGATAGGGCGTGGTACCTATTAAAAATAATAGTCGACTCATATTATAGGTAGTTAATTCAATGAAATATTTACTTTTCTTCGACTGCAGCTAATAATATTGCATTCGAATTTTGCTTTGTCATTGTGTTCTATTATTCGTATAAAACATTGAGAGTAATAATAATTATAGCTCCACATTTATAATGATTATTACATTTCTATCATTGGGATTCTTGAATGATTGTGAATCTACTTATGAGTTTGAGTTTTGAATTGATCAGATGTATGGAAACATCAATATATTCATCTCACCAATAACTAGTCGATATTTCAGAATTCTTATGTATAGGGTAAATCGAAAATGTGATGGTTCGCAAAATTATATCGTCAATGTTGTGAAATATTTAGTTTTTTCTGTGACGGAAAAAAAGTTTGGCATTTCATCTCTGTTGGCAGGTTATAAAATGTCACTTTTCATAATTTACTCTTTTCCCGTGGAAAAAAAGTGAGTACTTTTTTCCCGGATATATATACATATATATATACACTGTTGATTGGTTTTGTTGTGCTATAGTTCCGAAAAATGAGTCAATAATACCGTCTCCGAGAAAGAACTGCAAGTCCTTTTATCCATTCGACTTCGCCGCTACGTATATTACTAAACAACCACAAAATTCGCAAATTTTTGAATTAAAATCACAGAATTAGACTGACAGAAGTGACATCAGATATTTGATTACTTCAAAACAATGTTAAAGATGCCTACAACGCAGGTGTCCCTAATGTTAAAAACTTAAAATTTCACGTCGATAATTTTCACATTTTAAAATGATGTAATATCTTCTCAATATTGATTCGTACTTCCTTTTGTCACGGAAAAAAATAGTGTATTATACACGGGAAAAATATTAGATTTTAGCTCACGGTTTTTTGTCTCCCTCCGGTACGCGTCGGGAGAAAACACAACCTGGAGCTAAAATCTATTAGTTTTTTCCCTTGTATATAATAAATAATCATTTTCCGGTGTTATCATCAACTTTCGCATTCAAATTAGAACACTTTATGTCGCTGTACTAGGACAATACTAGGAGTACTAGGACAACTTGAAAAATGGTCAATTCAAGATTGGTATACAGGGTCCTGCATCTCACCTACCGTCTTCTATGGCTCACTTATCCGTTGAGTCAGGATTTTGATATTTTGCAGACTTCAATTGTCTCATAGGGCGCATACCAGGAAAATGATTTCGATTATACAGGGTGTCCAAAAAAAGTGTGACGTCATAAAGATATAATTTTCTGAATGGCATCCCATATGCCTGGTGAACAGAATGAGGTATACATATCAATCAATTTGGCAACAGCCAAATAATCTCTGTTGTCAACTCACTCTCCGTGCGAGCCCGGGTTGCCAGTTAGATTACTTCTTCATCAGTGAATTCCTTGTCAATTCAGAATATTTCGATTGATCAGTTTGAGATCTATTTCATGCTATACGAATTCCAAGAAAAAATAATTAAATAAGCCTATGACGTGTAAACATTTTGTGCTTTTAGTTAACAGAAAAGTGCCCTAATTCCAACAAAATAGAAACAAACAAATAAAACAAACAGAACAAACATAATCGATTAAAAACTACTCACAAATATCAAGAAATACAGTTACATAGCTAGGTACATACTTATAAGATTATAAAATCGCATTTTTTCTTTCAAATTTGAATAATCATAACTTTCGATTTTCTCAACTGATTTTCAATTATTTTCCAGTTTCTGAAAGCTTGTTTCATTGACTGTCGAACCTATGGATATGACTATTTCATCTTCTCCGGATGATATTCTACAGGATGATAATCAAAGCTGTGCATTTTTCCAAAAATTTCAAACGCCTCCCGTTTGAGTGAAAAATTTTCCTTTTTTTTTGGGGGTCGAGAACATATTACTTCATTTGTTTTCTCGATACTGAAATAAAATTTTCGGAATTGTCACACGCGTTACTGAAATATGAATGTTTTATTAAGATAATGCATAATTTGATGCTCTAATTTCTATTGGCTTCATGTTTCTGTCAATCTGGTTCGATCGGTGGTCAAAAATCTTGAAATGATACATGATCAACCCATTTTTATATACAAGGTGATCCTCAAACAACAATTATGACATCAAGTTATAAAAAAAATCTTGTTTCGAAGCAGGAGAATTTTCTGGCGATCAGAGAGTGTACAGGGTGATTCACCATAAATGTCCCCCCCTCTAGCTCAGTTATTTTTGAACCGATTTCAAAATTTAAAATATAATCTTGAATGATTTTCGATAAAGTTTTTTTCAGCTACATCAAAAAAAACAGGGGGCTCGGAACAAACGATCTACAGGGTACTATTTAATTTTTTTATATGGAACACCCTATTTTTCATTGTATTTTTAGATTCTCCCTGAAGAGATGATTTGGTCGATGCATCACACTTGGGGTCAAGCGGGAATGATTACAGAGATATAGGGTGTTCAAAATCGATATTTTTCAACTTTAGGATTTTTTTGAGACGAAACTATTCATCATCGGTCAAAACGGCTTTCATGTCCATATCTTAACTTTTGATTTACTATCTACTGACATTTAATAATTGGAACAGATACAGGGTGATCAGAATTCTGAATCTTGAACCACCCTGTCAATGTTCCAATTAAATGTCAGTAGACAGTAAATCAAAAGTTGAGATGGAAACATAGAAGCCGTTTCGACCAATAATGAATAGTTTCGAGACAAACAAATCCTAACTTGAAAAATCTCGAATTTGAACACCCTATATCTCTGTTATCATTCCCGCTAGACCCCAAGTGTGATACATTGATGAAATCAGCTCTTCAGGAAGAATCTAAGAATACGATGGAATACAGGGTTTTCCATTTGAAAAAATCAAGTGGTACTCTGTAGATCATTTTTTCCGAGCACCCTGTATTTTCTGATGCAACGAGAAAGAAAATTCTGAAAAATCATTTTAGATTATCTTTCAAATTTTTGAATCGGTTCAAACGTAAGTGAGCTAGAGGGGGGGACATTTATGGTGAATCACCCTGTACGAGAGGTTGTCATCACCAAGTCAAGTTGCTACAGAATCTGTTTCAAGATCAAACCACTGGAATTGATAGAGAAACCGGAGTTTCAGAGCATCGTTCTCACTTTGTGATAGATTTATAGAAGATAATTTCAAGGCAAATAAGAAATATACAGAATGGAATTCAATATTGAAAATACGTTTTTTATCTGAGTCAGGAAACTCTTCATTACATATCCATGTGACTCACGTCTGCCATTCTTTTGAATTGCGACATTCATTCAATATAAGTCCTTTGTGAAGACGTTCACCGCAAATGAAATCACATCCTGAGACCCGTTGATCTACTGCAATTGTGATGAATTCTGTCACTTGCATGATATGTCTCGGCAGCAACTTTTTCTATTCAGACGACATCCTGTATATTTCTTCAGTCTATCTCATTGGCCTTGAAATAATCTTCTGAAAATCTATCGCAACTTGAGAACAACGCTCTGAGAATCTGGTTTTTTCAACAATTCCAGTGGTTTGATCTTGCAATAGTTTCTGTAGCAACTTGACATGGTGATGACAACCTCTCCTACATGCTTTGATCGCCAGAAAACTCCTCAATCGGTTTGCTGCTTCGAAATTTTCTTGCTCGTCAAAACACGATTTTCTATTATTACTTGATGTCATAATTGTCGTTTGAGGACCACCATGTATATAAAGATAGGTTGATCATGCATCATTCCAAGATTTTCGACCACCGTTCGAACTAGATTGACAGAAACACGAAGCCAATAGGAATTAGAGCATTAAATTATGCATTATATTAATTAAACATTCATATTTCAGTAACGCGTGTGACAATTGCAAAAATGTGTTCACAATATCGGGAAACTATATCGAGGAATATGGTTTTGACCCAAAATAAAAATAGGATTTTGTTCTCTCAAACGGGAGGCGTTTTGGAATTTTTGGAAAAATGCACAGTTTTGGTTATCATCCTGTAGAATCTCACTTGGAAATGATGAAATAGTCATATCCATAGGTTCGATAGTCAATGAAACGAGCTTTCAGAAAATGAAAAATAATTGAAAATCGGTTCAGGAAATCGAAAGTTATGATGATATTCAAATTTGATAAAAAACATGCGATTTTACGTTTCATGTGTTGAGCGGTTTATATAAAAAACAGGAACAACAAAATACAACATATCGACTTTTTCGTTTCCTGAATACATTTCCCGTCGCTATTGATAATATGCAATTTTAATCAACACACAAATGGAGATGAAAAATTATTGATGCAATCGGTTAACTGCCAAACACATAAAACATTTTGTGTAGGTACACCGCCCTACTAAGTGAAATAATTATAGGTACATGGCGAAAATAAAAGACAGGATAGTTTCTGTACGAGTAGCTGAATTCGAAAAAATATGTTCCTATCTTAGATTCCTCAATATCATGAGTTATTTTCGAAGGTTTTCATCTTGACTCAAACAAGCTATTGACAACCTGCAGACATTGATCAGAATATCAAAACATTTTGAATAAAATCGGTTTACTAATGATCTTCAAATTTCAAAGCCTACCAAGTGTCGATATATCATCGTATTCATGTCACAGCCAACTTATTCTTTTTGAATAACAAGCAATTCAACAGCAAATTAAGGAATGAATGCCACTTTGTGATACATGGTTGGATAGAGACTTTCAAGACAAAAAAGATAGACTGAAGAAATGTACAGGGTGACATTTGAAAACAAAAAAAGTTGGGGTCACTTCCGGTCAAACAGATGGTTGAAAAAAATTGTCGTTAAGTTCGTAAAGTGCGCTACCATTTATTATGTACGCCCTGTGAATTTCAACATTTTATCTTTCCAAATAAAAAAACTACAGGCTGCTACATGTCTCCTGTGTCATCCGGTATAGCGAAACTAAAAGAAAGAAGAAGAAAATAAAATAATAATAGTGTCTTGATGAATATTGAACTGAGAAAATATATTATTGAAATGATGTATATATAGCAAAACAACGTTCGCGAGGTCTGCTAGTTCAATATAAAATGATGAGATATTTCCGAGAAATCAGTTATGTCCTTCTTTTTGAAAGATGAATTGTTCGATAGGTGTGTCTTCTTGGTGAAACTGGCTAGTTCTTCTCATGATATTATCCGAATTTTTGATCCTTGATTTTTTTTTCAGATTACGGTTCGCGAAGTTGTCGATTTTCTTCAAACAAGAATCCTTCTTGACCTCTCAGAGAAACGAACTCTACGGCCCTACAGACTTTTTGGCTAACTTTGGCGGACTTCTGGGACTCTTCACCGGATTTTCCTTGTTGTCGGCCGCTGAAATCATTTATTTTCTGACAATCAGGTTGTGCACCAATTTTAGAAAGTACAGAGTGTGGACAGGATCTTCGACTGACACTAAATAGTCGAATCAAAAATTAACTATCATCATGAATCGTTTACCCTCTTTCTCCTAGTAATGTGATTTGAAATCATCATCAAATCGAAAATATGAGAACACTCCAGAATTCTGATTTATATCTCGGACTTCTATAATGGCGACCATAATATCTCAGAATTTTACATCTAATATTCCGACCAATGTTCCGGATTTCCAAAATTTCAAACGTCGTCGTGTTGGCAATATCAATGAATATGCAGAATATTCTGGAGAATAATTCTTCTTCTCTCATTTCCACAGTCTGTATCTTGAAATAGTTATTTGTTTTACTAGGCAGCAATAAAGTAATAGATTACTGTCGCGACTGATACACTCACCGACAAAATAATCGATCCACTCAAAATATAGATAAAACTTGATCAACGATAACTTTGTTGATTCGTGTCTGATGAAGAATCACACAAAATGTCGAGATTTTAAGAAATGGGGCATATCTTCAAATCATACAGAGTGGTAAAAAAAGTGCATTTTTACTTCAATTCTAAAACAATCTCTGTAGTGGTTATGTTGGTATATCCTGTAATTTTTCATTTAATCATCGAGCTCCTTTATTACGTACGTTTTCTTCTCTTATTTGTTACGATAACTGCTTTTTTATGAAAGTTACAAGGGATTCAAAAAAACGTTACATTTACACATTTTGGTGATAATAAACATTTCAAATTAAGCAATGATGAACATAACCGACGTAACGAATGAAACCTGAGAATTATTTGAAAAATGCTGATGAACTCATGGCATGCCCATCATCAGATTTTAAATATACACCTGATCGATTTGCTGCCATGCTTCAACCAACACTTCACTAAGTTGCTGTGAATCTGCAGGAGATGGTAAACGAGATCGTAATTTTCTCCCGAGAGCATCCCAAACATGTTCAATTGGGTTCAAGACGGGGCTTCGAGGAGGCCAATGCATTACTGGGAGTTCAACATCGGCTAAATATACTCATTCACAATCCTTGCAACATGCGGTCAGGCATTGTCATGCATAAGCATGAAATCGTCACCGATGAAAGGCGCAAATGGAACAACATATGGTTCTAAAACGTCTCTTATATACCTATCAGCTGTCATGGATCCCCTTTCCACTATGACTAAGTCCGTCTTAGCTTCAAAACTCACGCCACTCCACACCATTATCGAACCGCCTCCGTAACTCACTCTTGGCGAAAAATGGTTTCGAAGAAAACGTTCTCCAGTTCTTCTGTAAATTCTTTCACGTCCATCCGGTGATCTGAGACAAAACCTAGACTCGTCGGTGAATAGGATATAGCTCCATTGTTCATTACCCCAATATTCGTGTTCCCTAGCATATCTAAATCGATTAACTCGATGATTCCTCAATAACTCTGGACCAGTTGCAGGTCTTCTTGCTCGGGGTCCAATATCGAGAAGCCTCCTTCTTATTGTTCTATCGCTGACTTGAACTTGCCTCACCTCCTCTAATTCGTTTTTCAATTGAACAGAAGTAAGTCTTCTGTCCCTCAAAACTTTGAGCGTTATGAAGTAGTTATCACGATCATTCGTTGATTTTTTCCGACCACCATTACCTCTTCTTGTGAATACACCAAATTCAAGAAACCGTTTCACAGCCCTTTGCACCCTGGTTCTTGAAACTCCCAAAGCTCTGGCCATATAATATTGTGATCTACCATCCTGCACCAAAATAATAGCTCTCGCAGAGTCGGTTGCAGAAAGATCCTTGTCTTATTCAACCATTCGATGACTAACACAAGCATACAAATTGTCAACTGACAGGTCCGTCACAGCCAGCTATGCACAAAATGTCTTGGGGAACCTTGTTATTACCATAGAAAAAAATGTTGAAATGTACCGTTCTTCTGAAACCCTTGTAACATCCACAAAAATGCAGTTATCTTAACAAATAAAAAAAGAAAATGTTCGTGATAAACGTAGCTTGATGATTGACTGAAAAATTACAGGATGTACCAGCTTAGCCACTCCAGAGATTGTTTTGAAATTGAAGTAAAAATTCACTTTTTGTTGTCACTCTGTATAATTTGAAGATATGCCTCATTTCTCAAAATTCAAACATTGTGTGTGATTCTTTATGAATTTACCTACGGAATGACAAGAAAATTGAACGAATCAGACATGAATTAACGAAGTTATCGTTGATCAAATTATATTAATATTTTGAGTGGATCGATCATTTTGCCTCTGAGTGTAGTTTATTCAGCCAAGGCATCAGTCAATATCTACATTTGCTGCCGTGTGAAAAATATTTTTTTTTCTCCTAATGTTATGATAGCATTTTCGACCAATTGCAAACCTGATGTATTTTGTACCGTTACCATCGCAACTAAACAAATTTCTGAAAATGTCTTCCTTCTCGTTGGAAAATGGGTCAAGAAATTACACTAGAAATGTTTTTATGTTCATAGGTGAAATATGAAATCAACACTTGACTCCAGATTATGTTCAATTGATTTTATGAGTTGAAAAGATCCTTGTGAGAGAATATACAGGGGGGGGGGCATTAGTGCGCCAGAGCTCGATTGCTCGACATCCATGATAGCTAGAAACCTGATCCAAAAACGGATGTGGATGAGACAACAATGTCCATAACTAGAAATCATCGCCGCATATACAGGGCGCACCAAAAATAATCTAGAGGGTCGAGATCATTGTTTTTAATGGAATGCCCTATATATTTGCATATTTATTGAAGCAGCCCTGTGACCTCCATCCACTTCTATGATATCGTCGACTATATCTCGTTCATATCAAAGTTATTATTTTTTTTGTCGAAATAATGTCATCTGCAGATGCCTACCGAAAATGTCACTGTTGTCACAATTATAAAATTTGAGGAAAAATAATCTCAATATCATTTATTGAAACGATGAGTGACATTTCTGAAAATGTTTTTGGCCCTCAAATGATACAGGGTGGCTGAAAATGAATTTTCAATTCGGAACTTTTCGAAGTGATTTTTCAAATGGAACACTCCATATATTTCTTGACCATTTGATGTGAAATCGAAACACTAACATATCTATCTGAACATTTATATCGATATTCATAACCATTTTCGAATTATTGAACTTTGAAAATTATAGGTTGGTGATTGTGATCGATTCAGATTTTTATTCGTCATTGAAACATCAAAAGTCTAATTATCAATTTAGTGAACCAATTTTTTCAAAGAAAGAATCGATACCAGCATCGAAGTTAACAGAAAAAGTTCAAATGCTAGTTATTCACAAAGAAAAAAGGGACAAAATTTGCATTTCTCGAGTATCCCATAAATTCATGGTACATTGAGAGCAAAACCAGAATAATTGAGAAATGAAATTGTGTCCGTCTCTACTTTTTGAATATTTAGCATAATTATGAACTTTTGATGTTTCAATAACAGATTAGAATCGATGAAAATGGCCAACCTAAAATTTTCAAAGTTCAAAAATTCAAAAAAGGTTGCGAATATCGATATGGATGTTCGAGAAAATATGTTCCTGTTTCGATTTCACATCAAATGGTCAAATGATATATGGGGTGTTACATTTGAAAAACTCGAAAAATATCACTTCGGAAAGTTGCAAATAAAAAATCATTTTTAGCCACCCTTTATCATTTGAGAGCCTGAAACATTTTCAGAAATGTCACTCATCTTTTCAATAAATATTGAGATTTTTTTTTTAGTTTATAATTGTGACAACAGTGATATTTTCGGTAGGCATCTGCAGATGACATTATTTCGACCAAAGAATTCATAACTTTGATACAAAAGAGATATAGTCAACGATATTATAGGAGTGGATGAAGATCACAGGGATGCTTGAAAAAATATGCAAATATACTGGGTATTATGGACCTTGATATCTCATTCACATTCGTTTTTGAATCAGGTTTCTAGCTATCATAGAACTCGAGCAATCGAGCTCCGACGCACTAATGCCCCACCCTGTATTTCTATCAAGAGCAGCTAAATGAATTTGTGAGTAACTGAAATATTGAGCTACTATCGACTTATTTTTCATTATTCCATTCAACTAATGTCGTTTGATCATGTGTGAGCAAATTTCAACCATACTGAATAGTTCTTCGAGTTTCTCGTGGGGAGATAGAGATATATTTCTAACAACTTTGGCTGAATGAATTTGTGAAAAACTGAGGAATTTAGCTATCATTGACTTATTTTTCATTATTTTGTGTAACTAAAGAGAGTGATTTGTGTATTATTGAACATAACAATGTTATTGATATGAATTATATTAATACTATACTCACTGTCGATTTCATTGTAACAAATTATATTTCCACCAACTTTAGCGGGATGAAGTTAGTAAAGAATATTAGTTTGAACTACCATCAACCTACCCATTGATATTATGCGTAACTGGAGTCGGTATTTTGTATTATATTCAGCAAATCTTATCAGATATTTTTCAATTTCAGTGTGAGATTTTCTTACCGAATACCACTTAAGCTTCATTCAAAAACAGAAAATTCTGTCTCGAACAAGAATAAATAAAATATTATCCGTGTTTCCGAATAAATTTCCGGTAATAATTGGAGCTCTCGTTGCGACTGCATCATTTTTTATTCACCCAATGATAGTGTAAATTTTGATGACCAATTTTATTCAAATTACTTGGACGTCCAATCTACATTTTCTGCCGTGTGGAACTTTCTTCAAATAATATAAAACCGGTGTTGTGTAAGTTTGTCATTGCAAAATCTATCATTTTGTGTTTACTCACTGTCAGTGTCGATACTTCTTGGGTATACATATAATTCCAATAAAACTTGCATGATGATTTGTTTTAATGAGTTATACTTCTATCGACATTAGAAACATATATATGAATTTACCAAGACGTAGGTACAAATTTTTATATATTTGTGAAAAATTAATGAAAATACGTTTTTTACTGAAAACTTTTTGACACTCAAGATGCCCATCCTGTATATTTAGGTACGTCACTGAACTAACGGTTTCATAATATGAGTATACATGGTTCAGATATGGTCTGGGAAATATGGACGTCGACTGGACGCCTCTGCAATGTCATGAGAGTGACGTCTTATATTGCCCTTCTAAGTGACGTTCACTCGACGTCGAGATGATGACGTGATTCTCACGTCATAGAAAGTACGTCATAGTGATGTCATAAAGGGATGTGTGACATTTCTGACAAAAAATCACAAGATAGGGACGTCACAGTGACCTGATCATTCGTCATATGGTTTGCTTGGGATTGCCCGTGAAAACGACCAATTTTGTCCAATCTGTACATACCAGA